AGGGCTCTTTTTTCAGGACGGAAAGATTCGATGCTGCAGTCGCCTTGTTTGTCCAAAAAATAACGTCAGACATATTATATCCCCCTACACCCTCTTGGTTCTAGCGCAAGTCTGCAAATGCTAGGCTCTTAAGTTCGGAACAAGCTGATCCCGGAAAAAAAAACAAGGTTAAAATGACTGGCCCAATGTTCGATAATGCAAGATGGCGTGTTGTTGCGTGAAGTGAAGATACGAGTGAAGCGGTTATGTGTCACGCGTAAGCTACGGACTTTACTCCAGTCCACAGTACTCATTGCGTGTGACTTCAACTTTTATCGGGTTAACTCGAACATGAGACTTACAGTCAACGCAAGAGGCCACCAATGCATGCATGTGCCTTCGCAAAAAGTCTGAATCCTCGTTAAATTATCTCAGTAGGTTTAAATACGTCGCTTGGAGGACAGCCACCTGGTTGATCATCTCCTCCTCCAGAGCGATGATAAGGTTCAAAGTGCCTCTTTCTAATGTAGATTTTACGACAATACCATCCAAGTGAATCCGAAAATATCTGAGATCATATTGAGTGGAATCAAGGGTCATAAAGTGCGTAGCACATCTAGACGACACCTGCTCAGCCTTTCACTCGTCTCAAATATTTCATTGGTGCAAAAGGACATACAGAGAGCAAATGGTGCAGATACTAGGCACCAACTGACTTCCTGGATGTGCTGCTCGTAATCACGCGACTATGCTAAACAGACATCATCTATGCAGTACTTAGGCCTTCTTATTTGGGTTACGGCTGGAGGTTTTGATCGCAATTATTGTTAGGAACTACGCACTTCAAACTCGCTGATTCCCTTACCACACTATCAAAGATTTGCGTTTGCGAAAATCGCACCCGGACTATTTGTAAAGAAGTGGAGCCAAGCATTTAATCGCTGTTGATCGAACTAAGAATGTATGTCTACCTGCTGGTGGTCAGGTAAATGCAATTCACCATTTCTACAACCTGCTATTGGGAATAGTTTTCCGAAAACAAAAAAGCAATTTACCGGCAAAGAGTGAGGAAGGCCTGCGCATAGGACGTTTTGTTTGCGCGAATGTCCATGAGGGTCTCCTCAGGCGAGCCAGGCTTGACATTGTCGAAGTTCATTTTGTTCAGATCCTTGGTGCAAAGCCAGAGGAAGATAGCCCTCACGCGCTCCAACTCCGAGGTAATGTTCCGCGCGTATATGAGTTGCCAAATTAGTTGTTTGAAGTTTTTCTGTTTTTGTTGCGCCACCAACAGTGCATGTTCGTCAACTTGCTGAAAGGCGTGTGGATAGTAGAAGGGTGAGAAT